TCTCCTTGCCCTAGTCCACTCCTCTGCCTACACGCCACTCACTCTCATCTCCACCTTTGAACGACTTCGTAGAGCTGAGTGCTCAGTATCCAGGGCTTGTGGGATGCCCTCATTTGCTTGATGACGTGTACTCGACCTGACCTTGCGTACCCTCTCAGCATCCTGGCGAGCTAAGTTGCTCCCGGAAGACACCGGCCAGAGCACTGGCGGGTTGCTAAGAGGGTGTTGCGTTATTTGTTCAGTACATTGGGCATGGGGCTCGTGCTTGGAGGACGGGGTTCACTCGTTTGTCTTATGTCATTGATTCCAGCTGTGAGGCCAAGATCTACGCTCGAGTCATGGCTGCACTTATGCTGGCTGACCTATCTGCTGACCAACTTGGAGCTGTCTCGTTCTCCTCCAGTTTTGTACATCGACAACAAGGCCATGATTGCCTTGTGTCAGGAGCAGAGACTGGAGCACAGAACGAAGCACATTGCTCTTCGTTACTTTCTTGCTTGGGAGCTGCAGCAGTGTGGTCAACTGCGCCTTGCTTACGTGGCCTTACGAGCCAACACTGCTGATGTTTTCACCAAGGCCCTTGGGTCTGGTGATCATTAGTGTTTTTGCACTGCTCTAGACCTTGTGCCTACTCTGCCTCATCTGCTCGTTGCTTCACTCTGTCTTGTGCTGTGATGAATAAATATATATATGTAGGTGTAAGGATTTACAAATCCTTACTGAGGCACTCTCTAGGGATGTCATCCTGAGGGTCACGCGACAAACCTGTTCGGCCTATTTCGTTGCACCAAACCAATCCCGGGTCGCCTTCGCACCAATCGCAACCATCACCGAGCCATCCTCACCCAACCTCCTTGCGTAGCTAGGATTCCCCTTATAAATTCCCTTTACTTTCCTTGTATCGTCATTCAGTATTCAACCATTCTCGTTATCCGTTATTCTACGCACTCTGCAAGTTCATTCATAAAAATGGTATCGTTCTATAGGCACCTGACAATTGGGGGAGGATGGAGGGAGAAGGGAAATTAGGAGGGTTCCGAGGTGGGTTCCGAGGTCGCTTTTCCCCCCCATGGGCAAACATGCGAGATGGGAAATTTCGCATCGTGGGGCGGTAGTTTCCCAAGGGAAATGACGAACTGCGCGCTGAATTTTGCGCGCCCATCAGAGGGATAAATCGAGACCAATGTTTAGTGTACCAGGATACTTTGTTGCGTACAAAAAAAACGAGCCCCAAAACACACATCAGCCGCTGGACCAACTTCGAGCGATCAAAACTGTAAAGGTGGTTGGGGTGTGTTTTCATTTTTACATTTTGGGAGGTGCCACCTTGGTTGGGTTAGACCGTGTTGTCCTTGGCATTTTTTTGGGTGGGAGGCTGGTGTTCCCATGCCCAGCTCCTCCCTCCCGTCACCTTCGCACTTCCCCGTGAAGGGTGGGTGGCCGATGGCTTGGCGAAGGCAAACAAATTTGCCAGAGGAGGAAGGTGGTGAGGGGAAATAGAAACCTTCCTTGTGGGGAATTTCCCTGGAGGGAAATGAGTGTTCTGCAGGCATTTCCCTTCTTCTAGGTTCGGAAAGGAAATGACTGCCACGTCGGCATTTTCCGGGCTGACCGCCATTTCGAACCTAAAATTGCAGAGGCATACAGCTTCCTATTTTCCCTCCCCTTCCCTCTGTGATGCCTACAGAACGACGCCAATAGGATTGCACACGTAACACTGAGGAATATTTGACTGGGGGTTCCCCCTTCTCGGATAACTGGGGACTGTGCAGGGGCAGGACTCCGCACTACAACCCGAACATGGCCTCCAACCCAATGCTGTTGCTTGTGCTCTGGTTTGGGCAAGTCGGCTGGTTGGTTTGAAATGAACGAACGCTATTTTCCGAGCATGGGTTCTGGTCAGCGCTCCAAACCAAAACCAAACCTCAGACTGTCGGGGCTGCGGCTTCTATATATTCTACTTGTGGCTGCCGAACATCGCCGTGCACTCATCTGCAGCTTCTTTTATTCATACCATTCATCACAGATTCACAGCCTTCCACCACCTCCTCCTGTGCCGCTTCTTGTGTGGTTCCCAGCGCAAGATCTTTAGTAGTGTTGCACCACACCCAACTTATGACCTCCCGTCAAATTGAACACACAGACTGGCTTGGCAGGGTCGAGTCTCCAAGAAATTGGCCTATGTCCGCCAGCTTGGGAGTAAGTCATGCTACATTCGCCTCACCGGGTCTCATTCAATAGACCTGAACTTCCGTCCCGGTGAAAGCATCAGCAACTACAGTACCCTTCTACCATGTCTTCCTTGCTGCAGTTTCTCTTATCACATTGCACTCCCTTTTGTGATGCGTGCAGAACTCAAACTTCCATGTGGCTAGTATTACCATGGCTTTCATCCCAAAAAATACCCCCGCAAATTTTCGTGCCGTGGCGCCTCCCCTTCGCGGTGTCTGCTCGTGTCGCTCCTGCTCCTCTCGCTCAGCGTCTTTCAGATCCACGCGCGCCATGGCCCCAAGATAACCGTTGCAAACGCTCAGCCGCATTCCCGCAGCATTCTCTGGCGAGCGATTTCTCAAACAGTAGGTTCAACCGGCAGATTCTCAACTTTGTCGATTGCAGCTTTTTTTCTTAGCAGCGAGGTCGTCCTTTTTCTGCTTCAGGTAGACTTCAGCCATATTGGTCTCAAGATAAAACAGCGACACAGCATCCTTAAACTCGTCCAACACTCGTATCTTAAAGTAGTCGAGGCTCTCAAGGACCTTCGGGTTCTTAGAGCCGAGGTCGGATTTCTTGTTCAAGTTGATGAAGTTGTCGAAGTGGAAGATCAAAGAGTTATAGGCTGCTGATGCACCACTGTAAGCTTGTTCTGCATCTTTCTTCTTCATGGCGACTAAAATATCTTGAGCATTTCGGCAATAAGCCAGTTTAGCCGCTTTAAGATCCTTATCACCTTCATGATGAATATATTTGGAATTGCAGATAAATTTGAAGGAATTGATACGAATGGAATGAAGAATAATCCCTGCATTCTTCTGCTCAACCATGAAGTTATACTGCTACAACAGAGTGCGATGTTTCACAAACTTCTTCTTGAAGTCGCTTATCGCTTGAGATTTCAAGTTAGCAAAGTAAGCCAGAGTAGCCTGCTTTTCCAGAAATGAAATGTTAAAAGCACCAAGGAAATCAATGGAATCGGACATAACGTCGTCGCGGAGACCAATATCATCCTGGATCCAAATACCAGCTTCCTGCTCCCAGACCGTCGAAGTAGACTGGTTAGCCATGGCGACGGGGATAATACTAGGAACGTCGATCGACTTAGCGAGAGTAGCACCAAAGGATTCAAGAGCTCTCTTTTTGTAGTGTCGGCAAGCTGAAGGAGCTTGCTGTGGGTTGTCCCACAAATAAACCGGCTCTTTATCCGAGCCAAGCTGCGAATTTGTTCACGGAGCTCTCTTTGGCTTTGGGGTGTTCGAGGCACAGTCAAACTTGGTGTTGGTTGTAGCAGTAGGATTGTTTGCATTAAATTTATAGCCGGCCATTGCAGCAGTATCTACAGATAGACCAATAGATCCCCACGTAGGAGGCATGGCGTAGCGTGGCAGAAGCTCTGCTTAGCAAACTGTTGTTTAGTTTGGTTTTAGGCTTGCTTGTAAAAACCTTGTGAAAAAGGATAGTTGGCGGTAACTAGTTTCGGCTCTTTGAGCCTTCTTCAGACCACTTGTTCAAAAGAGAAGCAAGCTATGCTAAATACCAACCCCTAGGGCTCAATCGCGAGGCATTCCTCCGCGTGGCCAGGGAAGATGGGGGAAAGCTAGATGAAAAACAGTAGAAGGAAATCTACAGTAAACTAGCACTTATGAGACGACCCGGCCTACCTAGACCCCACCGTCATGCCCTACCTGCCTGCAAACTTTCCTAAAGACGCCACTCCAGGGTTACTCTTCATGCCCCCTTCGTGCATCTCCTCCGCTACCCTCTCTTCATGAGCCTTCTGGAAGGTGTATGTTCTCTTCAGTCTTTGCGTGCCTGCATGTGTGGAAGCCCGGACAAGCCAAACTAGTGAAATGGAGTGGAGCTAGCATGATTCTCACTTCTCTTAAGCGTTCAGTTTTTGCGAGCTCTCTTATGCCGCTAGGAGTTGTATGCTCTCGCTTTGTTCGACTCCTAAGAGCACTCCACATGGAAGAAGTCTCTTTGGAGTTGACTTGAAAGAGATGTGGCCACACTCGCGGGTGAGTGAGTGAGAGAGCCAAAGCAGTTGCTGCTCTCGAGTCATCCCCCGAAGCGGACTTGTTGCGTGCGGTGCTGCTCGGACCACGGAGCTGGATGGTATCATTATCAAGTTATGTTTTTCCAACCTGGGAAAACAACAACCAGGTTCAAGTCCTAAAACCAGAACCTGTTTTGTCCTTGGTTGACTGTGTGTAGCGCTTGACTTGGTGCAGCAAGGCTTGTTTCCACCAATCCATGGGAGAGCGTCCCTCTCAAGCTCCTCATGTGCGTGCCTGGTTCATCATGCTCGTATCCACTTCTTGCTGTGCATTGCATATGTGTACATGTGTGTGCGCATGCGTGTGGTTGTGCGTGATCATGTGCATGTGCACGTGAATGTGCATGTGCATGTGGGTGTGCGTGCATGTGCATGTGGATGTGCATGTGCACGTTTTCAGCTCCAAGCCATGACAGGGCAGAAAATTTTCACCATAGATAATATCTTCCAGCTCCCATGCTTCAAGATACAATTCCACCAACCCATTTAGTAGAGAGTGCACATGCCCGTTCTTGTACCCCCCCTCCGCTCGTGTCAATCCTTCCATCCGTGCACAACGCACCGCCCCCCCTCAAGCGGTCCTCGATTCGAATGTAACCTAGGAGTACATGTTGCCGAATCAAGGTGAGTGAGCCATTCTGATCCAACCTCTGCGGGAGGCTCACCTCTAGCTCTTAGCCGCCCCCGCCGGCCCAAGTGCATCACCTGCTGCCGCAATCCAACCCAAAGCATGTCAGGTGAGTCAGCGGCAGGTTGCACGGCCAGAAAGGGCCAGAAAGGGCAGTATGGCCATCCGCCGGCTTCACAAATCCACAGCCAGTGGAAGCAAGGCAACATGATCTGTTCGGTAATACCCGGTTTCCCAGGTTCCAGAATCGAATGGATCTGTATCAATTAGTTTTGCTGCCCGCTCAATCTGATTTTCATGTCACCATTGACTCTGGTTTGTTTAAAAAAATAAATAGATAACATGTTCTTTTTTGTTATTCTAGTTTACTCTCTGACCCTTTCTCCAGTGAGTCCTCTGACCTCCTTGTCTCTCTCTCTCCCTCACTCGCACCACATTACCCATCTCGCAGCGACAAGAACAAGGCAGTGGATCCATGCACCACCTTCCCCACCATCGACATTGCTTTCCTCTCGCCTGACAACACCACCAGCGCCACCTCCCACTTCTATCTCAAGCTGCACGAGTACCTTGCTCAGGTACAGGAAAAAAATGCTTGTCGTTCACCGGTCTGTTTCCAAACGGATGACAGGCAGAGCAGCAAGAACAAACATGGAGATCACGTTTCAGTTGCCACGCGCATGCTCTCTCCCCTCTCTGCAGCCCTCTCCCTTCTCTCTCCTCTCCCCTCCTTTCTCCACCTCCTTTACCCCCTCTTCCCTCTCATCATATCTCCTCTCCCTGTTCCCCTCCTCTCAACTCACATCCATGCGGTCCAGTGATCCTTGTGCTCTCCCTTTGCTCCACTCTCCCATGCCATCTAAGCCCCACTTCACCCTTAAGTCCGCAAGGGAACATGGTGAGAGAGAGCAACGAGTGTCAGATCCTTTTGCTGGGCTCTCTGAGTCTCTGAGTTGCTCAGTGGCTGTCACTTAGGCAAGTAGACAATCCCTCGTGCCACTCGTCAAGGCTCCTCTTCCCCAATCCCGTGCGGCCCCAACAGGTTTCGGCTACTGAATACTGCGTCTTGGCCGCCTCTACTTTTTCAGATAGAAGGGGTGTCAACTACATTGGAGGTAAGAGGGTTACCTACAACATATTTTTCCCTTCTCTCTCCACCTGAGATTCTGGCAGCAATATCTGATCTAGTTTTGAGTACTCTCAGAAGTGACTTGAGGTTCTGTCGGCTCCCTTCATTCCCCACCAACCTACTGCTGTGCTGTGCTGCCCATCCTCTGCCATCCACCATAACATCCCTCCCATCTGAGAACTTGGGCATGCATGTTCTTGATTCTTTTTGAAGGGCTGCAGTGCTAAAGGGAATGCTTAAGCAATAGGATCAACAGTGTAAAATTCGTGGGAGTCAAGGACATTCCTCCCATCCGCCCTCCAGCCAATGCAAGCTGAGAGCTTGGGAAGGCATGGAACTCCAAACACAGTTGCCTGCTGTGATTGTGAGGCTGACTCCATGTATGACTGACTTCATCTTGAAGCCCACAAGTGGGCACCCAGATGGACTTCCATGTATGTCATTGCCCTTTGCCCCTGCCTGACTTGCCCTTCCCACTTCCCTGCCACCAACACCACTCCCTTGTCTCCCTCCCCTCCATTTCGGGTGCACGTGGCGGTGATGAGCAGAGCCGGGGTTGCTAGGCAAGTACCTCTTTATCGACCAGACCAACGGGATTGGAGGATGGATGGATGCCCCTAACTGTAAGCTGCTGCTCACCCTGCCCACAACCCCTTCTTGCACCTTCCATCTCGCTAGCACACGCACCCACCCCTTGCCCCTTTCATACTCCGTCCCTTTCATCTTTCTTACTCCGTCTTGTGAATTTCTCAGCACTGCTTTCTGCAAACATCCTCTTTCCTTCACCTCTCATACACTGTGGTTTTGAAGCTGGCAAATCATTCATATGCAACAGGGACTCACCAAGTCTTTCTCTCACCAACGTCCGCACGCTACCCCCTCTCCTTTCTGCCGTCTTTGTGATTGTCTATTGCGTATTTCTTGCTCGCTTTTGCCCTCACTTGCCGCACACCCTTTCTGAACCTTCTCTCTTCTCCTCTCCTCTCCTCTTCTCTCCTCTCCTCTCCTCTCCTCGTATCTTAACAGGCGGAGCTGAGCCCCTGCTGCCGCCGCCCTCCCCACCACCACCCTCACCTGTTACCAAAAGGGCCACCCAATCCCTCTCCCCGCTGCCGGCAGCACTCTCAGCTGCCCTTGCCCTTGCCACCTCCGCCGTCCTGCTTGCTCTCAGACGCCTGTAGAGCCTGACTTTGTCGTGGAGCACTTTGCACCCGAGTCTAGTCTCAGAATTGTGCACTCTCATATGCTGGCCTGCTTGTGGGAGCTTATCAGGAGTTTCTGCCTGCTGTGAGTACTATCGTATGGTACCAGTTACGAGATTGGTTGGATCCGTATAATCCTTTGCTGCTGTCCCCTCTGAAGATAGATTGCTATTTCTATAAGCAGGCAACGAGTGGGAGAAGTAAATCTTGTTATGATGGCATGTCGGAGTCCCTTCCCTTACTGCCTTTCACCCTCGCCCTGTTCCTGCATTACTCTGCTCGCTCCCCTTGTTCCTGCCTCATTGCGCTCAGTCCCCTTTTCCTCCTTCTCTCCTTGCACAGTCATCCCTTCCTCAGCCACTCCCAAGCGGGAAGCGAGGGAAGAGGGAGAGCGGGCCTAGTGGGTGAAGCAGCGATAGCTAATGCATGGCAGGAACCAATCAGGCTGGTGGAGCTGTTCGGGGGAATAGGTATGGAGATAGGTAGGGAATAGGAGCTGTTCGAGAGAGATTCGGCTCCCACAGCTGGCTACCAAGAGTGGCGTCTGTCACCTGGCTGCTGTAGCTTAGAACGGTGACATAAGTCCACTATGCACTGGTAAACAAACGAGAGAACAAGAGTACTATGCTAGGCTAGGCTTACTTATGCTAGGCCACCCAGTCGCAAGATTCTCAGCGTGATGGGTTGGGCTCGAGCCGCCTTGGCCTTGTATAACAGGAGGAGCAAGCTCAGAACCCAAATTCAAATATTCATTGAAGCATCACATGCAATAGAAACAATGCATCGGGGTAGCCTGATATTAAAACCAAGCTGCTTAATGGCTGACCTGGTAGGATCTCATCCGTCAGGTCGGCCTTGAACAGCGTGACAAGCGACTGAAGCCACTTGAGGCACCTCCGGTTCCTCTCTCCATGCTCCAGCGGGTACTCATCGGGGGTGAAGAGCCTAGCGCCGAACATCCCGTTCAGTTCGCCAAGACGGTGCTCCAGTTGGTGCACGATCACCTCGGCGAACTCTGTGCAAACCTCTACACAGCCATCGTGGGTGCCGGGCCCTTCAAACTCCTCCAGCTCGTCCTCGTGCAGCACGAATTTGAAGCGTGCTGGTCAGCCGTCCGAATCAATCCCTTCAACCTTCACCTCCCGGTTTCCTCCAGGCCCATGGCGCGCGATGAAGGGGGACAACAGCTTGCTCACACCGCCACCGAAGTCGTCTCCGCAGTCGACGTAGCGGCTCTCGATGTGGGATGTTGTACGCTTGATCTACGCATGCACGCTGGCATAATCAAGCTGGAAAGAAACGCATGGAAAGGTGGTTAGTGACTGAAGGTTAGAAGAAACAAATCTTGCATTAGCACAAACCCTTAACAACTAGTAACAAGAAACCGGAGCTTACCTCCTTGTGGTGGAAGGCCCTGTTGAGTATGTTCAGCTGCTCAAGCAAATTTGCAATGAAAAACAGGAGGAAATGAAACTTGTAGCTCATCACCAGCGCATAGAGCGTCGCGTCCCACTCCTTCAACATCACGATGAGAGCCGGAAGGATGGCGGCGAGCCTGAGCACTGCGTCGCCCCGCGAAAGCCAACGGACTGCATGGATCCCTTGTAGCTCCAGTGAGGTGGAGGTGAAGACTTCTTGCAGCCCCATGAACCGCTGATGCCATGGCCCACTTCGACTGAGATGCTCAGCCACGGTGCAGATCACCGTGCCAATGACGTTGAAGGCGGGAATCTTCTCTGCGGTTGTTTTAGCCGCCAGTGCCTCCCTGTAAAAACAAAAAGGGAAACATTAGTCACTTGTACCCGTTAAAAAACTTCAAAAAAACCCTATGCACCTACAGGCATACATGTGCGCAATGCAGTGGGATGACACCAAATGGGGGATGCGCACGCGGAGGCGTGTTGTGAGGCCACCCTTGCAGCCCATCATGACGTTCGCGCCGTCTGTGCTGATGCTTGCAATGCGCTTCAGGTCGACCCCGACTGCCAGCATGTGTGATAGCAGGACGCCCAGAAGAGAAGCGGCGTCGGCCTTCTCCACGGTGAGAAGCGCCATGAACTCCGTGACGACCTTGAAGTCACGGACGAAGGTGATGAACAGGATCATGTGCACCTATCCGTGCTCTCGTCAATCGAGATGCCAACGAAGGGCGACGACAGCACATGTTGCAGCTGGGTTGTCTGGAGCCATGTAGCTGTCGCTTGCGTCAGCTCACTGAAGCCGTATCTGCACATGGAACCAATAGTCAGTAACAAAGTAGTTAGAACATTATTGAAACGTGGGTGTTTATAAAGAGGCGTACGGCAGTTGCACTCACGTGGTGTAGTAGGTGCTGTACCCTCTCTTAGGGAAGCATTGCACGCCCTTCTCCGACAAGTACCGCACCAGTTTCACCCACATCCCCATGGGCACGTCGGACCTGCTGATGAACAGCGACGAGTCAAGAAGGGCGACGGTCCACATCTTCTCACTGTCCACCGCGGCGCGATGTTGGTCGATCTGTGGCTGCCGTCCACCGCACTCCTCTTCAGATTTGTGTCTCTCAACCGCCAGCTTGTGCTTTGCCGTGCCAGCGTGTTTATGGAAAAACTGTGTCTGCAGGTCGGTGGCGCCTCTCCCGTGCCTCCCGCACTTTCCTGAATCGCCAGCATAGGCTGCACAAACGGTACACTTGAACGCAGGCAAGCCGGTAGTGGTTTAGTGATCCTGAGCCACGGAAAACGGGAAGACCAATGATTTTTGAACTTGTCAATCGCTTCGTCGTAAACCCCCTCGACGAGCTTGGCCAGATTGATGTTGAGGCGAGGTCGCGATCGGTCAGATGTTCCGGGAGCGTTGTTGACGTTGGCAGTTGACGACGCAGGTTTGCCGAAGGTCAAGGTCGCCTACTTGAGACGAATCGTGCGCGCCGTGGTCTGAGTCGGAATGTGCGAGTGTGAATCGACGGTTGGTTCCGCAGATGTCTCTGCCATATGGTCAGCAGAAAGTGAGAAAACTGGAGTCGCGGGTGCTTTCTGTATGGGAATCGTATCGGGCGTGGCGTGTGCAGCCTTATCGAGATCTAGTGTACTAAGTAAGAAGTCCAAGCCTGTTAAGGCAGGCCGCTCATCAGGGTCGTCGTCGCCTGTGGCGGGAATGTCCAGCACCGCCATGGCGGGGCTGTGAAAGAGCCTGCCGAGCATTAACTAGAGAGATGATGGCTGAGGCAAACTGGGCACTGGCTTGGGCCCGTGAGTTGAAGCTGATGGGTGTGGATGATGCTAGAAAGGCATAGTGCCAGCGTAGTGTCGAGAGAATTAGTGAGTTGAGAGGTGGGGCCTAGGCTTAGTAGCCTAGGCCCTAACTAGGTATCGAGCGGGTTTTCCTTAGGAGCGATGTCGAGTGAGTTGTGAGAGAGAAATTGGAGAATGGGATTTTCACTATAGGTTTCAAGAAACATATAGCATAGGAAACAATGTTGGTGCACCACCTACAAAGTACAATAACTACACTACAACTACAAGCAGTTACAAAATATGACAAACATATTTCGACACGCCCCCATAATGCTTGTAGGTAGAAAAGTAGTTACGCCCCCTGAGGGGGTACACCATGCAAAACAATCACAAGCAACAGCAGGTACTGCAGGCGGGCTAACACTAGGGAGTTACCCCCTCCATCTCCTCACCCTCCTCCTTCCCCTCCCCCACACTGCTGCAGGAGCAGCAGAGAAGGGGGGGAAGAGAGGAGAGGTGGAGGGACGGCTGCATGTTGCCTCACACCCGCCACCCCGGTACCACTCCCCCTGCTCCCCCACATCCTCACACCTTCTCCCCCCAGCGGCAGCTGCAGCGGTGGGACTGAAAGAAGGAGGAGGGGAAGGGAGAGAGGTGACGCCACACTCCAACACCCTCCACCCCCATACCCTCCTCCCCGCGGCTGCAGGGAGACAAAGGAGGAGGGGGGTGGGAAGGAAGAAAGCCGCAGAGCGGCGAAAAGGTGTCGGTGCAGTGGTGTCAGGGGCGGCTTCAGGGAGTGCAGGGGCGGAAAGGCCCGTCGCGGGCCAGTGCCACGGGGCGCACGACGGGTAGAATAGAAGGGCCCGATCGTGTGCCTCGGGGCGCACGACGAGCAGGGCACCATCGTGTGCCACGGGGCGCACGATGGGCAGACGAAGGGCACCGTCGCGTGCCACGGGGCGCGCGACGGGCAGGGAAGGAGTCACTCGCCCGTGGGCGGGACAATGTAAAAATAAAGTCGTCACGCGCCCTAGGCGCGCGACCGGAAAACCTTAGCAGCGGAAGTGTAAAGTGGGCCCACAGGCCAGGACGAACCTAGCTCCGATAACATGTCGAGAGAATTAGTGAGTTGAGAGGTGGGGCCTAGGCTTAGTAGCCTAGGCCCTAACTAGGTATCGAGCGGGTTTTCCTTAGGAGCGATGTCGAGTGAGTTGTGAGAGAGAAATTGGAGAATGGGATTTTCACTATAGGTTTCAAGAAACATATAGCATAGGAAACAATGTTGGTGCACCACCTACAAAGTACAATAACTACACTACAACTACAAGCAGTTACAAAATATGACAAACATATTTCGACACGTAGCGGAAACGTGTTTGTAGAAAAGAACAAGATATAAATCTTGCATTTATCATTGAAAAGTAGGATGATGACACAATGATGACTAAATGATAACTCAATGATGATGAAGAAGTGACCACGCAGGGTATATATGCATCCAGCTACCCCTCCAGAATGAACCGATTCACACCAATAATGGTGTACCAATAATTGTACCCTCTACCCTCCAATAATGCTAGGCTCCAATAATTGTGGCCCTACAATAATTGTCACAATTATTGTAGGACCTGGAAGCTTATAAAGAGGACTACACTAAAACCAATCAGCACGCTGGTATACAGTATTCATTATACTGTATTCGGATTTCCAACAGATGATACCCTAGCACAAACACGAAGGCCCTTTACCAAGATGGGCCATCATTGAGTTGTGTGGGTGGTTGCCTACCATGCACGGCAACGACGAGGCGCATCGTTGCAGTCTGTGGTGTGGATGTTGCAGCATCGTGGTACACGATGCTGCCTAAAGGACCGTTTGCTTGCCATCACGTTTACGTGGGTGGCAACTGCTGCAGCATCTTGTACAGGAGTGGTACAAAAGATGCCAATCGCACCAATCAGTGTGCAAGGAGGGTGTGAGCTGGAGCGTACACCGAGGGAAAGAACGCACCGCAGGGCGGGTGAAACATCCAGCTGTACGAGAAAAACATCGGGCCGCAGGGCAGCGGTATAGGTACAATGTATGTACCACAGCTAATTCTGGGTGTCGGCGCGCAGGTAGATTCATTCAGAGTCGGAACTCATCTCAGACTAAAACAAGCAAATCATATAAAAAAACTCTGACTTCTAAGGGCCTGTACTAGGGCAACGTGTTTGCAAGTAGGCTTTTCCAGAGAATGGACTGTGAGGCCAATCCCAGTGTGAGCCGATACCAAATGTGGTCGCCTAGAAAACAAACAGGGCGTCTTTCGCCAATCCTTCCCCCAACCCTAAGCATGACAAAATGGTTAGGCAAAACTCAAAGAGCAAAACACCTTTCAGAAAACGAGGATAATTACTGAATGTTTGTGACACAATTTCACCGAGAATGTGTAGCTAACTCTTGTACTGATTAACGCAATGTCGGCATGATTTGTTTCTCAATCTGCTTGGCGCAGCGCACATTTGAACAATTATTTGTGGCAGCGAACCGCGAGGCTTGTATGCCCCTGCACCGAGACAAACTTGAATCTGTGTGTACCCCCAATAATGGCGTGCCATGCCAACCTCATTACGCCAGCCATCCTCATGGACTCCAACACAAATCCATCAAATATATGAAGCAGCCACTGATACTGGACGAATGATCACCCCAATCGGCATTCTTTAGCATCTGCCCATTACACAGTGGAATGCATCGCCTCCTCACTTCTGCGACTTGAAGCCAAGTGCATCGTCTCCTGATAGCTGTCAGCTGCTGATGCCGTGAGTAAAGATTTCTGCTGTTCAGATCGCGAAACGTTCCCTGTACTTGATTTCGCGCCGCTTTTATAGGGTCGCCTTTTGTTCCGCACACCTGCTCTGGATCGATCGCAATGAAGACGAGGCAACGCTGCGCCGCATTACCCAAGTCTCCCACGCTACTACTCGCGATCCTGATAGCGGTCGTTCTAATCATCGACTGCCACGTGGATTCTGCACGAATTGGGCGGCGACGGGCGAACTCCATACGTCCCCTTCGCACGAGTACGGACTTTCTCTCACCCTGATGCAAGTATCCCACTTTGTTGTACCGCTCTTCATCGTGGAGATAATTTTCTCGAAGCTCATTCATTCTCTTCCTTCCCCCGCTCGGAGTGAAACTCTCATCGAGTTTCCTTTTCGGTATAAAACCAATATTATGATGTTCTCCCTCCTACTTCTCCCTCTCCTTCACACTCTTTCGCCCAGTGAACGCTCGGATTCCCTCCCGCCGTCTCGGAAGCGACATATACAGCGGCAATGAAACCGGCGTAAGCGGCAGTGATTCTGGCACTGATGTCGGTGACGGCGGCGGTGACGCTGGGAGCAGCAACGACACTAGCGGTGATGGAGAGGGACTCAATGAAACCGACTCTAACGATACGGGCGGATCGAGTGACACTGAATCTGGCGGTGACATTAACGGAGGCGATTGGGCCGGAAATAATGACACTGTTTCTGGCGGTGACATTAACGGAGGCGATTGGGCCGGTAATAATGACACTGATTCTGGCGGTGACATTAACGGAGGCGATTGGGCCGGAAATACTGACATCGATTCTGGCGGTGACATTACCGGAGGCGATTGGGCCGGAAATAATGACACTGATTCTGGCGGTGACATAAACGGAGGCGATTGGGCCGGAAATAATGACACTGATTCTGGCGGTGACATTAACGGAGGCGATTGGGCCGGAAATAATGACACTGATTCTGGCGGTGACATTAACGGAAGCGATTGGGCCGGAAATACTGACACCGATTCTGGCGGTGACATTACTGGAGGCGATTGGGCCGGAAATAATGACACTGATTCTGGCGGTGACATTAACGGAAGCGATTGGGCCGGAAACAATGACACTGATTCTGGCGGTGACATTAACGGAGGCGATTGGGCCGGAAATAATGACACTGATTCTGGCGGTGACATTGACGGAGGTGATTGGGCCGGAAATAATGACACTGATTCTGGCGGTGACATTAACGGAGGTAGTTGGACCGGAACTAACAACACTGATTCTGGCGAGGACAGTAGCGGAGGCGAATGGACCGGAAATAACAACACTGATTCTGGCGGTGACATTAACGGAGGTGATTGTACCGGAAGTAACAACACTGATTCTGGCGGGGACATTAACGGAGGCATTTGGACCGGAACTAACAACACTGATTCTGGCGGGGACAGTAACGGAGGCGTTTGGACCGGAACTAACAACACTGATTCGGGCGGGGACAGTAACGGAGGCGTTTGGACCGGAACTAACAACACTGATTCTGGCGGGGACAGTAACGGAGGCGTTTGGACCGGAAGTAACAGCACTGATTCTGGCGGGGACATTAACGGAGGCGATTGGGCCAGAAATAACAACACTGATTCAGGAGGTGACTGTACCAACGGAGGTAACGGTTGTGATGGGAGCGGAACTAACAACACCAATAGTAACAACACTGATTCTGGTGGTGGCTATAACCAAGACGGTGGAACAGGGGGTAGCGGCGATGGAGGAGCAGGGGGTAGCGGCGATGGAGGAGCAGGGGGCAGCGGCGATGGAGGAGCAGGGGGTAGCGGCGATGGAGGAGCAGGGGGCAGCGGCGATGGAGGAGCAGGGGGTAGCGGCGATGGAGGAGCAGGGGGCAGCGGCGATGGTGGTTACCCCGGCGGCGGCGACGTGTCACCTCCTGGTCCTCCCATGGCAGGTACTACTACTGCTGTTACCGCTACTAGTGGTGAGAGAGCACATCGAAGCCGAATGCTACTTCGTTGAGACCATCGCCGGCAGTCAGTAGTAGCTCCCGCTTTGCCGCAGTCCCAGCCTCTCCCACTTTCGCGCCTGCTTCTTGCATCCGCCACAACTTCTGCGAACCCGCACACCCGCACAAGCTCACACGTGCGAGCTTCCGTACAGGCGGCTTGGTGTCAGCGGTGTATGCGGCTCCACCGTGTCTTCCTCTGCGCCACTAGGCTCCTCTTGTTCCGCACTTGCCGCCGTCTCGCAAGCAATCACCCGCGTTTCGTACTGCCTTTATGTTTGTCTTTCGACCCTCACCTCATGTCCACCTCGTTCAGGTCCGTTTCTTCTATATCCACACCTTTCATCCGACCTGATGGATCCCCTCACCTGATACCAACCTCTCATTCACCCATGTCGTCCCCCCTGTCCGACTCGGATACAATCACGCATCCACGTCGCCAGGCGACAAGGCCCTGGGTCTCGCCCCTCCTCAGAAGACGAATGTGCTTCTATCGATGCCGGACTTCAATCCTGCCTCCCGCTACGCCACATCTCAGGTACACCACTCTAGCCTCTCCCCTCCTCCATACTCACTCTCACATCTTCCCCTGCTCATGTCCACTATCCTCCCCGCACCCCGTCGCGCTCATCTTTCTCCCGCCGCTCTCTCACCTTCTCACTCCCCGTGACACCCTCCCTGTCAGATATCCTTCGATGCGACGACGGGCGCCCCCCAGTGGACTCTCGTGAACAACGTGTCGCACGTCGCAATGCTGTCGCCTGTTGAGGACCAGGGCGCGTGCGGTGAGTGGTGGTGCTGCGCCGGCGAGCGGTGAGGCTGAGCCGAGGGGGGCAGTAAGTGCAAACTTCTAGAGCTGATGTTGCGAAATTGATGCGAGAAATGCGCGGCTCGATCCAAAATTTGGCATAGGTTGCGGTTTTCACTCGGAGCTTTTCGGAAACAATTCGTCACATATCCGCAACTTTTCCGCAGAAAACCCCCTTGGAGGCAGTTTTTGACCTAAACCTTTTCCGCGATGAGCAAGCACGAGGGTTTTTGCATAATGGTTCATGCCGCTTCAGGATCAAACAGGGAGTTCCCCTCTTGCTGCCCCTTCATCCCCCCGGTCCTCCTCTCTCATCTCTCCCTCGTCCCCTTTCTCCCCGCCCCTTCCGCACGCCCCCGCTCCCACCCCCCACCAGCCGCGTGCTGGGCGTTCGCGGCGGCGGCAGCGGTGGAAGCCGCGGTGGCGATTTTCACCGCAACCACGCCCGCGCGCCTCTCACTCTCCGCGCAGCAGCTGCTGGACTGCGCGCCGGGCACGTGCATGGGCGGGTACCCGGAGGACGCGCTGCAGTACAGCTCCACCTCCTTGCTCCGCCGCGCCTCGCAGTACCCCTATGTCATGGACAAGGGTGCCTGCCGCGGAGGGCTCCAGGTGAGCCGTGACGCGGCGTCATTTCTGAGAATCTGAGACGCCTCATGAAACCGGCGTGGAGAGCACGCAGAGCAAGCACAGCACTCCGAACCCTCCGCTCTCCGGCCGTCTCACCGGCTCCCCAACCCACACGCCATTCATCTGCGCACTCTCCCCTCATCCCCCTCCGCACCCGTCTCGCAGCAAGCGGCATCGGTAGTGTCGCACTTCGAGCAGGTGGCGCTGGAGGGGTCGCTGGGGCTCATGCTGGCCGTGCGACAGCAGCCCATCGTCGTCTCCATCATCGCCTCCTCGCCTGACTTTGTCGCCTACAAGGTGCGCGCGTGGGCCGCGTGCGTGTGCGTGTGCATGTGCCTTGGGTGCATGCACACCCTCATGCGGCCATGGAGTCACATGCAAACACGTGGAATGCCAAGATGGGTACATGCAGCAGTTGCTCCTCACGTCCATTCAAGCTCCGTCTTCGCCTCCCTGTTGCTGCTGCCACCTCTGCTGCCGCCTCTGCTGCTGCCTCTGATCTCTTCCCTCTCTCATACATCCCTCCCCTCCCTCCTCCCTCCCCTCTCCTCCCTCCTCCCTCCTCCCTCCCTCCCAACCTCCCATCCATCCCACATTCACCCCGTCCCACCCCATCCAGGCGGGCATATACAGCAACGCCACGTGCTTTTCCCCGAGCAACCCCGTTCTGGACCACGTGGTGCTCGTCGTCGGCTTCCGCTTCCTCTCCGCCACCTCCAACGAGAACTACTTCATCATCCGCAACAGCTGGGGCAGCACGTGGGGCGAGAGCGGCCACATGCGCATCGCCATGACCTCTGCGTACGGCGGCATGTGCGGCATGACGTACCAGCGCGGGCTGTACCCCACCATTAAAGGTACGGTGGGACGGACGGACAGACAGACGGGAAGGCAGGCACACTGGATGGCAGAAGAGAGATAGATGGAAAAACAGACCACATGGACGGGTTGTGTGCTTTTCCTTGTCTGTGCTCATGGACTCAACATTCTTGTTGAAGCCATTCACTTTCGAGTTTCTCTTGTTCTCTGCCTGCTTGCTCCTTTCGCTTCACCCAACTTTCACCCACATTCACCTCGTCTTCTCCTCTATGCCCATCAGAAAGTAGTACCACCTGTAGCTTGTCCCTCCTTGTCTTCCCTTCATCATCCCTGCTCCTTGCCCCCATGCCCACCACAACCCCTCTCCTCCCCCTCCTCCATCTTCTCACCTCTCCTTCCGTAACCTCTGCTCTTCCTCCCCCCCCCCCCTCCCCCCCGCCCCTCCACTGCAGCGAGCCTGATTCAGGATCCGTGCAAGCTGGCGGTGTGTGGGGGTGGCACGTGCACAAGGACGGGGGTGGGCCGATACACATGTGACTGCCCGAGCACCAAGGGGCTGCTCAAGGGGGAGAATAAGGACGGCTCTGAGACCTGCATTATCAGTAAGAGGGAGTGGTTTTTAAGATGACTTATTGTACGCACCTCCCTAGAGTGCTGTATGATCCCTGCCTCTACTCAATCAAGGCCCACTCGTGTAAGGGAGAGGGCACCGTTTCAAGCACAGCACTCGGGTTGGTGAGACACGAGTGCTGCCACGCCATCCCGGTGACTCACCATCCCGCCCACTCCTGCAACACAGGGCAAGTGCAGCTAACTTCCCCCTTCCCCCAACCTCTCCTCTCCCTGTCAACGCAGGGAGCAAGTGCTCGCTGTTTGCGAGCAACCCGTGTGGCGTGGGAGAGTGTGTGGACGGGAGCTCGGGAGAAATCTCCTGCGTGTGCCCGCCAGAATCCACCTCCAGCCAGCTCGCCTGCGGCCAGCCCACCTGTGTACCGGGTAAGGCCATCCCTGGACGGACGAATGGATGGAAGTATGTTCGTATGTCCCTCTCTGGGTTGCACGTTTGGGTTTAGCGGGTATGGTATGGATGTGCGACATGTATTGATGCATGCATGCATGAATCTCTGAGTTGGCGGTTTTGGGTGTGGCTGGTTAAACTGGTGTGCATCAATCAGGGAGTTGACCAGATTGACGGAGTGGAAGACAGGAGGTGCTGCTTCAGAGCGACAGCATACGAGCAACGTCTACTCACCTGCAAATAGATAACATGGGTCATCAATCTTTACCTTGTGTTGTCAGAATTTCTCGTACTGCTTCCACTCCCCTCTCCACCTTATCCCCGATTCTCCCCGCCTCCCTTCTCTCTCGCTCTCAAACTAGCATCCCCCTCCCACAATTTCCTTCTCTTCCACACTCTCCCCCCTCTTCCCTTCCACAACGAGCAGGAGTGGTGGCCGGGCAGGCGGGAGGCGGGCAGGGTGGGAGCGGGCAGGAGTACGAGGCTCGGGAGGGCGACACGTGCAATGCCATCTACGTGCTCTTCGGCCTCACAGAGGCGCAGTTCACCTCCCAGAACCCGGTCAGTGCTCTGCTGTGCTGTGCGTGCGGTGATGTGCTGTGCTGTGCTGTGCTGTGCTGTGGCCTGACTTTCGAGTTGACTCAAATGTCACCTGGAAGGGTGTGCATGCCCATGCCCATACCCATGCCCATGCCCATGCCAATACATATGCGTCTGCCTATGCCTGCGCACTCCTTCGGCCATGCTCGCGCTGGTGGTGGTACCAGGGCGTGGAGTGCAACCCTCTCAAGCCCGGCACTCGCCTGCGCCTCACTCCACCAGACACCACCGGCACATGCACCACCCGATACCCCGTCTCCAAGGTACTTCTTCCTGCACTAGACATGATTTCTGAGTCGACTAACAGATTGGGCTCTTTTCACCAGTGCTTCAGTCCCACTGCATCTTTACCACCTCAACGCTTCACCTCTTCTCCCCTCCCCTCTCCTCCCCTTCATATCTCCCCCCCCCACCCTCTCCTCTCCTCTCCTCCTCGACCTTCCACCTTCTCACCTTAATATTTCTCCTAATTCCCCAATTTCCTCCTCCCATCACGGTCCTATGCCCTGCTCTTAAGGCGGACAGCCTGACAGGAAGCTGTGATGACATCAACAACAGGTTCGGCATCCGAATCACGGACCTCAACCCAGGATTGGACTGCACGAACCTGCAACCAGGACAGCAGGTGCGGGAGGGTCATGATGGGGGGAGATGGTGAAGGAGGGGGATGGTGAGGAGGAGAGAGGTGAGGAGGATAGATGGTGAGGAGGAGAGATGGTGAGGGAGGGAGATGGCGGGGGAGGGAGATGGCGAGGGGGAGAGGTGGCAAGGGAGGGAGAGGAGGGACGAGACGGTAGTTGGGATGTGAAGGAAGCATAAGAGCACAACGCGAATGAGAGCACACCTGGACCGCTTGGTCAGCTCCCACTCTATCCATCCCCTCATCTCTGGACCCTCCCTTCTGAACCCACCTCACTGCACCCTCCTTTCTCCACCCCCACCTTTCCCCACCCCTGACTGCAGCTGTGCATTGAGTGGAACAGTGTGACGGGCGGCAGCGGAGGAGGCGCAGGTGCGTACCAGCAGTGCACGCAGTACCATGCAGTGGGCCCCACCGACACCTGCGACAGCATCTTGCAGGCCAACCCCTCGCTCTCCTGGCGCTTGCTGTACCGCCTCAACCCCGGTCTGCTCTGTGATAACCTCAACCCACTGCGGAACCAGGAGGTGCGGTGGACGGGGGAAGGAGGACGAGGGAGAGGGGGTGGGAGTGCGGGGGAGTTTGTGCTTTTCGTTTGATACGCCACATAAAATGGCCGTGGCACACTCAGGAACCAGGAGTGGTTGGAGGTGGGGGTGGTGTCTTGAGGAACAAGTTGCAGTTGTACTCTCTGTTTGTTCACTTCCATTTACACAAGCAGGTGCATAGTTAGCCGCTAAAACTTCACGCTCACTTTTCTGAATCCTGCTCCTCTTCCCCTCACGCCTGAGGCCATAAAGTGGCTTTGACACATCTCAAAGGTACCCCCCTCCTTTCCCCCCCCAACCTCCTTCCTCCCCTTCCCTCCTCCCTTCCTCTGTGCCCGTCCCCAGGTCTGTGTGGGCGCAACTCCCCTGGGAGCTATCGTGTGCGATGCACGTCGGAGCCGCAAGTACACTGTGGAAGACGGGGACAGCTGCCCCACTCTTGTAGTGAAGCAGTTTAAAAGGAATCCCAGGCTTGTGCCCGAACTCAACAGGGGATGGATGTGCCGCACCCAGAACCTGTACCGAGGCAGGCCTTTGTGCATTCCAACTTAGCGGTCTGGGCAGTAGTGGTAGGTACTCTCTCCTTCTCCCTCTCCTCTCTCTCTCTCTCTCTCTCTCTCTCTCTCTCTCTCTCTCTCTCTCTCTCTCTCTCTCTCTCTCTCTCTCTCTCTCTCCCTTTCCCTCTCTCTCTTTCCCTCTCTTTCCCTTTGGCGCATCTTCTCGTTGTGCCCCCTTTTCCCTAGGAAGCTGCACGCAAATAATGGCAATAATTGCTGAAAAGGCATGTGAGCGGCTACCATAGCACGTGCACCAGTCAAATTGCTGTTCTCGAGCAGCCCTGGCATTGCCAATACAGCATCTCTCTGAATCACCCTAGCATTGTCAAAAACGTTCAGTCTCGTGTTAAGTGCAGCACAAAGAAACAGAAGGTGAATGACTCAAAAGAACTGGTTTGCAGCACTCTACTACACCAAACAAACTATGCAAGAAGCAGTACACAGTCCAAAAGAGTGCGCAACAGGTTAACATGTAGAGCCAAATCTTGAGTCCAGCGTCGAGTGTGATTATGTCAAGTAGAGGCATGGCACTCACTCACAAGACAAGAAGCCCTCAATTGCTGCCAACACTCCCTTCCATTCTTTTATGCTTCTGGCTGAGTCCATCAACCAACCACTGATTATTTGACCAAGTCGAGGGGGAGACGAGGAGTGGTCGGGAGGAGGAGAAGGGAGTCCAAGTGCCCGAAGGCCACTCACAGGGGGCAACGAGTCCTGTATGAGTGGGGGCTACAGCGACGACTGCTACTGCTGCTGCTGCTGCTCCTGCCTGCTCCTGCTGCTGCTCCAGTTCCAGCCTCTGCAGCTCCTGCTGCTGCCACTCCAGCCCCAGCCTCTCCTGTGCCAACCTCTCCTGCTCCTCACGCTCAAGTCGAAGAAGCGCCCGGTGCCGGGTCGGGAAGCGGTGGGGAGGCGGAGTAGGTACCGTAGAAGTAGTTGCGCCGGCTCCGCCCTCCTCAGCTCCAGTAACCCCAGATGGCGCACCTCCAGCTCTAACACGACCAGCTCCAGTACCCACAGCCCCAGTATTAGCCACACCCGCACCCCCAGAAGTAGCACCTCTAGGGACAACACCCTCAATGCCAGCACCCCCAAAACCCGTACCATCTGTAGCAGCACCTTCAGCTCCAACACCCCCAAAGCTAGCTCCTCTAGGGTCCGCACCTCTGACACCAACACCTCTAGAGTCTGCGAGAACATGCGGGTGAAACGCTGACGGCTGCTGCGGTGACTGTGAGGACGACTCTGGGGATGGGGACCGTACCTGACGCGCTACCAAGGGGAGGGGGGTGACGTGCGACACACCAGACGGGGCAGGACCAGGGGGGGAAGGGTGTACCAGAGGAGCGGGAGCAAGAGGAGGAGCGAGGGCAAGGAAAAGGGGAGGGGGGCCTCGACACGGGTACCGGGAGGCCTCGACACGGGTACCGGGCGTAGTAGGAGAGAGACTCGTCGAACCTGACGTCACGAGAGTCGAGGAAACGGTGGAGGGGCGGGTGGTAAAAGGTGTAATCAGAGGAGCCCTTTGGAAAACCAAGGAATACACAGAGGAGGACGCATGGCGAGAGCTTGTCCGCAGAGGTGTCGCGGAAAAGCGAAAGACAGCCCTATACACGAAACTGAGACGCAACACTAGGGGACTCGGTCCAAAGACTGGTCAGTGAAGCCCCTGGCCGAGAAACACGAGGCCAGAGGTTCAGCTGGTGAGCGGCGTAGCGAACCGCGTAGGGCCACAGAAAATTGGGTGCACGGGCATGGATCATGGAGGTGCGCGTGATCTCCACCAAGCCTAAGCGGCACTTAGCAACCCCACTCTGCTGTGGGGACTCTGGAAACGTTCAAGACAAGAGGATGCCCTGCTCGCGACAGAATTCGGCGAGAATGACGAATGGAGATAATTGACACGACGGCCACGAATGCCCTCAATGGCAAGCAACCACCGGATCAGCGTAGAAGTCACCTCGGACTTCTTCGCCAGGGGGAACATGGTGGTATAGCGGGAGTAATCGTCAACAACCACCAGAAAGAAGCTCTCCCTCTCGGGTCCGGGGCGGGGGGTGGGGTCCTAGACGTCCAAGTGGAGAGTCTCAAAGGGTGCAGTGGCCGGACAAAGGGAGGAGGAGTGAGGGGCGGCGCACAGCCGACCCTCGACATAAGGAGTGCACGCAGGCGCAGGCGAAGGAGGGAGCGACAAAAAGACGCGCGAGAGACCTGAGACAAGACGATGGCTAGCCATGATGTGAAGGCGCGGGAGAGGCAAGTGACCAAGGCGGTAGTGCCACAGGATGGTGGGGTGGGCAAGCGACCAACACGAGCACGACGCAACAACCTGGCCAGACGCGTCTACCTGGCCGGACGCAGGTACGTGGGGAGGGGTGGTGTGCAGTGTAAAAAGGCCTGAGCCAGGCTCCTAGTGAAAAGTGGCCAGAGGGGCGTATGTGTCGCCGTCCACACAGGTCCCAAAACTCTCCGATGGAGGAAACCAAACACCGACGTGACGACTCTGAAGGTATCGCACACCCACCAAGTTCCTGGAGAATGAGGGGATGTGGAGAGCAGTCAGAACACGCGAGGGGACGGCCGGGCATGGAAGAGTAGTAGAGCTGCGAACAACGAATGGTCCTGAGGTAGGATCAGCCAGTGCAACTAAAACCGGTGCAGGAAGCGAAGAGTGGTGCGGTCGCGGAAGAAACAATGTGATGCGCTAGGGTCCAACGTAAGAGAGAGACGCGTCTGCCGAAGTCTCGCCTGGGCTAGGGCCTAAACAAGAACCTATGCTAGCAACATGCAAAGATCCTAAACTATGAACAGGCGAGTAAACGGATTCAGGAGCACTATAATCAACATCAGCATACATAGGACACACAGTTCCTAAAGCATCAAGTAACTCGGACACAGACACGTCTCACAGCGCAGGACCGTGTGTCAAAACGAGGGGCAGCCAGTCAGGAGCAGGGCCTGGGCCGCACTCCGCACGCACATGGTCAGTGAGCTGAGCAAAGCACTGACCGGGAGGGTGGAGGTGGCCGCAGCGGAAGCCTTGACGAGTACCTGTCTGAACAACGTACTGACAGGGCGGGGGGGTGACACCACGTGACGCGAAGCTGGGCGGTCCACTGCCACGACCAGCACTGCTTGGCCCGCGAGGTCCCCACTGGGAAGACAGCTGCTACTGACTTAGACGCTGCTGCTGCGCCTGCGGGCGCTGCTGCTGCTGACGCTAGGCCGTGTACCCGGCCCCCACCCCTAACGTCGCCTCCAACCGACACAGCAGGAGGACCACCGGTGGACGCACTAGGCTCGTCACGACTCCGCTGCCCCCTCCACTACCACTAGCCCCTCCAACTCCGCTGCCCCTCCACCTCCGCCACTGCCAGCACCCTTTCTGTTAGCACCAATAGTGGCGGCGACCGCAGTCTCGTCGGGCGCAGCAAAAGTAAGAGAAGCTGTAAAGGTGGGCAGCCGTGGGACAGTGCACCCCTGGAACAGTGGTGGGGGTACAGCGCTAGAAGCAAAAGCTACGGAGTGGAGGTTGCTCTCAACGTCCTTGAGTGCAACCTCAAGGACGTTGATGGTGAGTTCGCTAGGGTGCTTCAGGAGAAGCGCATCACGAACAGAGGCTAGGCGGTCATGGAGGCTAGTGGCGATAAAGTAGATAGCAATCGACATAGGAAGAGGGAGCAGTACAAGCTGAGCCTCAGTACAAGCAGCTCGAAAACTAGGTCTAGCGAGCGTAGGTGAGCAAACAGATCAGCAGCATGGTCAAACAAAGCCAGGCTAGGGAACAGAAGTGCGTTGCATTGTTTCTTTCCTCTGCGTTTTCTCGGCACTGTTTTCTGTCAAGAATAGACAAAGAGCCGGAGGGGACTGCTGGACTAGGGAGGACCGTGGAGGCCCTCGCAACCACTGGGCCCCTAGAGGGGTCAGCCAGTGAGACTGGGACAGGTGCTGTGACTGGTGTGAATGTGGTGCAATTACGCAAGAAGCAACGTGACGCGCCTGAGTCAAGCCTGAAAGTGTGCAAGACCTCATCTGAGGCAGGACCGGTGGTAGTAGATGCACTAGCACCTTGAGCGTCGGTAGACGCACGGGCACCTAGAGCTGCAGCAGACTCACAAGCACCTGGAGCGGCAACAGACTCACTAGCACCTAGAGCAGCAGTACTAACAGAACGATAACCTCCACCACCAGGACGACCTCGCTGAATAACCCACTCACGAAGGTGCCGAGGGGTGGGTGTCAGATCATTATAGCTTATGCTTTTGTGTAGGCTATAGTGGGGTATCCCATAGGGGGTACAACCCAATTAGGGTTAGTACTTGTACCCACTTCATTCATAGTCCATTCCATTCTCGTTCTCATTCTCACATGGAATCAGAGCAGGTCCCCTCCTAGGGACTGTTTCTTGGGCCCACCGAAGCGCACCCCGAGGCGCGCGTTTTTTTTTTTTTTTTTTAGCGACCCGTAGTGTCGCCCTCCCCCCCCCTCCCAGCGGCCCGTCGCGTCGCCTTTCGGTCGCGACCCCGCCGCCCTACTCTAGCGGCCCCGCCGCCCTACGTCGCGGCCCCGCCGCCCTACCCTTCGACGGCGGCGCCGCCGCCCTACCCTTCGACGGCGGCGCCGCCCTACGTCGCGGCCCCGCCGCCCTACTTCGACGGCCCCGCCGCCCTACGTCGCGGCCTCGCCGCCCTACTTCGACGGCCCCGCCGCCCTACCCTACGTCGCGGCCCCGCCGCCCTACCCTTCGACGGCGCCGCCGCCCTACGTAGCGGCCCCGCCGCCCTACCCTTCGACGACGCCGCCGCCCTACGTAGTGGCCCCGCCGCCCTACCCTTCGACGGCCCCGCCGTCCTACGTTGCGGCCCCGCCGCCCTACTTTGACGGCCCCGCCGCCCTACCCTACTTCGCGGCCCTGCCGCCCTACGTTGCGGCCCCGCCGTCCTACCCTACATCGACGGCCCCGCCGCCCTACTCAGCGGCCCACCAGCCGCCCTACCTGCGGCCCACCCGCCGCCCGACCGCCGGGTCGCCCAGCCGCTGAGCCGCCAGCCGCCCAGCAGCGGACCGCCGAGCAGCCGAGCAGCCGAGCCGCAGAACAGCCGAGCCGCCCCGCAGCCGAGCCGCCCAGCAGCCGAGCCGCCCCGCAGCCGAGCCGCCCAGCAGCCGAGCAGCCGAGCCGCCGAGCA